GGCAGCCGCTGTTGGAACGGGTCCGTCTTTCCGCGTTTCTGGTTGCGGCCCCGGGAAGGGCTTGCCGTTCGACTCGCTGACCCCGAAGGATATCTTCCCTCGTGTTTTGGAAACTTGGAAGACTTTGTTGTGAAGTTTTTGGCAGGGTTTTTTTAAGCTGCTTTTCCAACGGCTGATTTCCCGCTGCGATTTATTGTAGGAAGCTATTAGTCGCGAGAAATGTCACTGCACACGATCGCCTCTGAAGAAGGGAGGACCTCCTGGTTCCTTCCGTCCCCTCACAGCACCTCTGTCACATCTCTGTGACACTTCTGCTCAGCTCCTTGGCTTCATTTCCAGTTTTCCTTTTTCCCCGAGTTGGAAAATCTGCCAACAATCCTGAAACATCACGAACGGGTAAGGCCAGCACTCCGTGCGGATCCACGGAAGGGCAGCAGCAGCCAAAATACGCACGCAGGCAGAAGAAATGTCACTTGCTCAGTTCCATATCAAACCTCCCAAAGGCAGAACTCAATATACCAACCCAGCAAACAGCGAGGAGCAGAGCTGGCCAGGCTTCAGCACCTCCTCATCCTCCCCCGGGACAACACTTCTGCGTTACGCCGAGCGTGGTCTGCCTTAGGTGCTGTGAAAGACACAGATGAAACTTCATCCGATTCCCTGTTATGTCGATCAGATTCTCCCTCCGCACAAACATGATGCTTAAATGGCAGTTTTCCTTCTGTTCCTGCTGCCATCAGTCTTCTGACTTACGTCCTGGGAGATACATGGGCTTTGTGGTACGTAGCCCATGAGTCTTGGCACGGTGCCCCAAGCGATGGGGCAGGGAGAACACGGGGAGGAAAATGTGCTTTAAAAAGGATTTTCACAGCGACAGAAACGGTGCCAGGAACTTTTCTGCCTTCTGCAATAGGCATTGGTACGCAGAAGGAGCCACTGCCACGAAAAACTGAACCAGCTGTGGAATGTGTGGTAGGAAGGACTAAAAGTGCATTTCCTATTTAATCAGCTCGATCGGTGGCAGATCCAAAGCGGAGCTAAGAATTGTATAAAACCCCAAACTTATGCTGATTCGTGTTCCCTTCTCTTTCCTCTTTCCCATAAAGAGCTGTAACTTTTAAGGTGAGCGGCAAATGCTATTAATTTTAACCAGAGAACATTGTTCTGAGTCACACTGCCGGCCACAGCAGCCTGAAACAAATTAAAAAAAGAAAAAACAAACAAAGAATTTAAGCAGCCCATGCTTGCAAGGCTCGGATGGAAACAAACAAACAGGAAAACTGATTCTCACCATACAGTTCAGCTCTTCACTCTTGAAAACAGATCACATTCTAGTCACAATGAGTACTTGTCCCTTTTTTTCCTTAATTGAATTTATTATTGGCCTATTCCTTCCTCCATCCCATACTCTAACCTCCCCCAAACCCCTTTATTAATTAGTGCTTTTACAATTTAAAAGCTTAGGTAGATTTGGGGAATGGCTACAAACAGCTTGTGAATTATTTTATGAAATCTCTTCTGCAACAGTTTTCAGATCGTAGCGAGGTCAGTCAGCGTTCTGATGCAGAACTGGGTTATGCATTTTCTGGAGGAAGGACATTATTAACTGGTGACTGCTGTAACGTAATCTCATTCAAACAGGTGGTGGGTGGACAGGATTTTTCCAGCTTTTTCCACAAGAGCAAAGCTAGTGGTAATGCTATTATATCATACAGCTCAAAATCATTGGAATAGTGACAAAAAGGCACAGATTCTTGTCTGTGGGACAAGGGAAAGGAGGTATTTTTGACTGCAGGAAGAAAACACAACCTGAAGATGCTGGAGAAAGTAAAGACTGCTTGATTTTGAAGAAAAAGCCAGCATGTGAGAGGTTACCTGCAGCTCCTTCTTCTGCCACAACAGGCACTGACCTAATTCTCAAGGAAACAATATAGAGATTTTCAGAATTGTTTTGGTCTGGATCCAGGTACATCTCATGTTGTCCTAACAACATCTGTATTAGAACCATTTACAAAAGTTTTGCCTGTTTGCTGTATTATTATGGTCTTCCCAACACTCATCTTGGAGCTGAGAGACAGCTGTCCCGTTGCTTAAGCTACACCAACTGCTTCAGCGCAGTCTCCTAGTGAGTGCTCAGGTTATGATTTATGCCTGCAGGGACAGCAAGCAGCAGCAGTGTATATGAAACATCTTAGCCACGGGGAATGCCTGGACTCCATCCAATTTGCAAACCAAAAAGACAAATCCAGTGTCTTACGACTGAAAACAGCAGATAAACACCTACCAGTTGGATTACCAGGACTGTAAATTATCATCCCTCACCCTGTGCTTTTCATCTAGTTTGAAAACAACATTATTTATCTGACCACAGTGAGAATCTCATATCGATTTTTATTATTATAAATACTATGTCAGAACAGAAAGAATGGTGTTGTGCATCCGCTCCATTCTGCTGCTATTTTGCATCTTCTTTCTTGGCTCCTGCTTCTATTTTCAGGGGTTCTGGAGCTGCACGATAAGCAGGAAACGCCTCCCAAGGACTATTCAGATCAAACTTCCGGAATTCTTGAGCTAGCTCCACAGGCTCTGCCACCACTCGTTTCACTTCATCATCATACCGCACCTAGAACAGCGCAAAGGACACAGGCCAGTTGTTTTCAGACAGTCCCCACAGCATCTCTGCAATTAGCTGTACGCAGTAACGACCCAGACCACCCTCCAGTACAGCCAATCCCACTTCTTACACCATGGAGAGGCCACAGCCCTCTGCCACAGCTTCAGTCCTCCTCATTATTAAGCAAGAGCCCTCCAGATGCCACCAAGACCTCTGGACTCTCCAGGAAAACCCCTCCCTTTGCTGCCACACACCACATCCTGACTAACCACCCTGAATTAGGAGTGCCCAGCCTACTGTCCGTATAACGTCCATACGGAATAACACATTTAGTTTGTCATATGACAAAGGAATTTCTCCTCAGTCACGGAAATAAGGTGGCCCATCTGCCTGGCACAGCTGGGGACTACTCTCACAAATCCTTATAATATGGCAAGTTGGTTGGTTGGAGTTGTGCTTCTTAGTGTAACATCCAGAGCACAGTGCAAAAAGAAAAGCAGGGTGAAAGGCAGGTGAATATTTACCAGAGGTAACTATTTGATAAATGGCAAGGGTCAGTTCAACTGGAGTTTTATAATCCAGGTCTACAAAAACTCAACACAGTGGAGTTTCAACTGCGTTAAGATCAGTTCAGTCCTTTATTCCTCTGGGAATCTCCAGTTTTGCAGTGGGAAGGTTAATCTTCCAGAAGGCACGCTAAAAGCGGAAGCACTTTCCCTGCCTGACAAATGTATTTGTCACACAGCACTCAAAATTTGCTAATTGTATCTGCCCTTAGGCTGCCTTATTACTGATGATACTTTGTGACGACTTCAAAATTCCACGCAGGAGGATCTGTGCAACTCCTTTGGAATACAGACAAGTGACACATTCTTAGTACCTTTTGGACAAAGGATTGTAAAGCAGTGACATCTCTGTAAAGAAACTCAGATAGGAGCACTGGAGAGGTTTGACAGCTTAGACATGAGCGTTATCTCCTACCTCTACGTAACCAGAGAGTGGGAAGTCCTTCCGGAAAGGATGGCCCTCAAACCCGTAGTCTGTGAGGATTCGCCTTAGGTCAGGGTGGTTGGCAAAGAAAACACCATACATGTCCCAAACCTAAATGAAAGGGAGATGAGTAAATTGAATTAGATTAGAAAAAAAAAACCCTTCATGTATTACACCTGTAAAATTTCAGTTACATGCCTAGCTTTGTGCAGTGCCAGCGAAACCGATGCAGGGCAACTCGTTCTAAAGCAAATCAAACACCCTTTTATCTCCTACTCTGAAAAGGCAGCCAGGGAAACACTTCTCTCTCTCTTCTTCAGGGCCCTGGCAATCAGTTCAATTAGGAAAACACAACCCCTCTCCACACTGACTCTGCTGCCCAGCACGCTGGCACTCACCTCTCTTTCATACCAGTTGGCTGCCTTGTGCACAGACACCGCTGAGTCAACCGGAGTCAGCTCATCGGTGTACGTCTTCACACGGATCCGACTGTTGAAGCGCAAAGACAGGAGGTTGTACACGATCTGAAGCAGAATAAAAGAAGGCACTGGTCTTGGGTGGCATTAAGGACCTCTCTGCAGTGCAGTACCGGCCAAGCAAAGGCACACAAAGGCTCCTCAGCTGGTCTTTATCAGCGCAATCACACCCGGCACTTCGGAGCTGGGCACTATAGACACTATCACAACTCGGGTTCCAGTAGCTTATCACTTTGGTCCTTAGAAGGACCCAAGTTGGAAGTGTTAGAAATGTAACAAGAATTCCGTGAGATTTAGAAAACATGACTGATGAAGAAGAGCTGAAGTAAAGAGGGATACTAAATGTTAAAAAGAGAGAATACTGAAGGGATGGAGACACTTGACAATAGTCCTTCAATAGTCTGTCACAAAGAAAATGGCTGTCAACTACTCTCAGCATCCAGTGAGAGAAAGCTAAGAAGAAATACACTTCATTTTCAGCAAAGAAGCTGGATACCGGGGAAAATTTCTAACTCTTCTGGTGACGAAATACTAATAAAAAGGCTGCTTATGAGGATTACTAGAACCTCTGGAGAGCGGGGAAATACTTACTACAAGCAGACTGGAAAAAAAAAACCCAAACTTTTGTAAGAAATTGTGTAGCCTTGCTTGATACTGCCTCTGTGAAGGCGGTCACAACATGTGAATTCATTAAGGTCGATGTTTCTATTATTTCTATGAATGCACTACCTTGAATTTTGAAAGAAAAATCCTGAATTAAAAAAATCTTCAACTTCTTCAGAGAATGAAGTTAATTAAACACTCTTTTTGAGTTAATTAAACTCTCTCCATAATTCTCAGGGGTTTGGCCTAATCACGAGTTACGTTACTAAAAGTCAAAGGTCCTATTAGCAAAACAAGGAGCTACATTTGAAAAAAAAAAAATATCTGATGAGCCAATATAGACAAGGCAAAGCTGCCACCGCTTATGATTTAATACCACGAATAAACCAAAGGGGGAAAATATATCAGCCACTTGTCATGATCCTTGTTACTTGCTGGGAACTAAAAGTCTACCAGTTCACTTCTCTTGCCCAGATTAAATGGGGGAAGACAGACATCTCTCTGTCTGTAAGGCTGCCTAAAATAGTCAGCCTCCTACGGCACAGGAGCCCGAGGTATCCTCTGCCACTGTTTTTTAAAGATCCTCCTAAGTTAAACTACAATAAAGTCTTTGCAACAACGCTATGAAAAAAGTTTTCTAACAGCAGGTGAGAAGACAACGTGCCGAGTCTGTGGTTTCCCCCAAGATGCACCTTTTCTCTTTCTGTTTGCAGCTTTTTCTTCAGCTGAAAAGCTATCAAGTGAGACATTCAAAATCTCCAGTGTTCACTGAAAGTCAGTGGAAGTTCAGTGCCTGAAATCTTCCGAGAGCTTTCTGAGAATCTGCCTCATCTCCCATTTAGTTTAGACCTTCAGCCAATGTTTTTAAAACAACTAAATATTGTTTTGGTTTGCCTTTTTTTTTTTTTTTTTTAAGAAAAGGAAAACTGTTATGAAGATTGATGGGATTTAAAGAAAAACATGATCAGTTGTGTCAACAGCAGCTGACAGGCCTAAGTGGAAAGAAGGAAGAGCACCAATTCACAGATGGCCAGAAAGAAGTCTCTAGACACTTTGATAAAATCAAATCAAACAAAAAACCAACCAAACAAATAAAAACAAAATAACAAAAAAGAGACTTTCAGCAGAGCACAAAAGGAAAGCCAGACTAAGAATCCATGCAGCATCAATTCTGCTACTGCTTCCATGATCAACAGATTAAATGAAACCCAGCATTTCAGAGTGGGTTTTCTTTTCACTGTCAGAAAGCAGAAATTGCGGTCAGAGCTGCAACAGCACCCACAGACATCAGCACTTGGGAAATTTGCACCCACAGCCATCAGCACTTGGGAAATTCGCACCCACAGCCATCAGCCCTTAGGAAATTTGCACCCACAGCCATCAGCACTTGGGAAATTCTCCAAGTCCTGCCCCTGTGAGCAGATCGTACCTCAAAGCGGAACTGCCGAGACGGGACATCGACAGCAGTCAAGTCAGCCAAGGATTTGAACTGGGCATTAGTGTGATCTCGAAGGAAGGTCAGAACTGGAACGATCCCATCTGGATGGATCAGAAGTTCCAGCTCATTGAAACAGGTCACCTGAGGAAAACAGTGGAAAGGGGATGAGCACAAACACCAACAGGACTGAACGCTGCGCTGAATCCAGGAGGACATCCAAACAAAGAGGGCGTATGGTACAGGAGACACATAATGACATCAGAGAAAGGGGCTTTCAAGTAATTCTGACCATCTTTCCTGCCCAGAACAGCTTCTGAAAACAGCTGACAAACAAGTAGCGTGTTCACTGGGTCCTGCCTCCCCCACAAGAACAATTTCTTGAACTGCACCTACCTGTACTTGCTGGATGTACTTGGGCAGGATCTCAGCCACGTACTCCCCAAAAGCACAGAGCTGCTTCTGTTCTACTTCATTTTTCGGTCTGACAGTAGCTAAAGGAGAAAATGAAGTTCCCAAGATTATGGCAGGGAATACCGATAGCTACAGAAAAAAATGCAGCAACTCCTATCCCTGACTTAGAAACCCCTTTAACTGGTCTAGCTGTGTCCCAGTAGCTCTGGCAGCTTCAGGTCATCTGCAAAGTTTATTTATGGTAAATCTGGAGCTAAACACAACAAATCTGGAGCTAAACAACCTGAACTTTGATACTGCTCACGACATCCAGCCTGGGTCTTTTTTTCTAGACAGAGGATCTTTTTTTGCTAGACAAGATCAAGGATTTTTTTTTTTTTTTCCTAGATAAAATCAAGGTTTTTTTTCCTCCTAGACAAGATCAAGGGATTTTTTTTTTTCTAGACAAGATCAAGGATCTTTTTTTTCCTAGATAAGATCAAGGATCCTTTTTTCCTAGACAAGATCAAGGATTTTTTTTTCCTCAAGGATTTTTTTTTTTTTTTCTTTTTTCTAGACAAGAGCAAGGATTTTTGGTGTGTGATATGTTTTTTTTCTAGATAAGATCAAGATTTTTTTTTTTTTTCTAGACAAGATCAAGGATCCCTTTTTCTTTTTCTAGACAAGACCAAGGATTCTTTTTTTTTTTTTTTTTACAAGATCAAGGATTTTTTTTTTTTTCCTAGGCAAGAACAAGGATCTTTTCTTTCTAGACAAGATCAAG